GTTATCCCTTCCCCTGTCCGCACTAACCGTCCCCTCCGTGACGCGCAGGTGGACGCCTGCAGCCGTCTGTGTGTGCGCGCCGGCCAGACGCTGCTCATCCCCTCTGGCTGGATACACGCCGTCTACACACCGCACGACTCGCTGGTCTTCGGCGGCAACTTCCTCTGCAGCCTCAACGTGCCCATTCAGCTCAAGTGAGTGGCGTGGATCGTCATGTTCTAAATTGTGTCGTCGATGTCAAGGCGTATCTCAAAATTAATATGTAGCTTCCACCGATTAGCATGCAAACCTGCTATTTTCCCATCAGGAATTCAAAAACAATTCACAGTGGACACCGAGTCTAGCTTACCGTCCTGCCTGACTGTCTCACTATCCTTTCTCGGTGTCTTACTATCCCGTCTGAGTGTGTTCCTCATCACCCTGTCCGCAGAGTGTACGAGCTGGAGAAGAAGAGTCGCACGCCGCTCAAGTTCCGGTTCCCGTCGTTCGAGACGTGCCACTGGCTGGGCGCCCGCCGCCTGGTGGAGGAGATGCGCGACTACAGCGACGCCAACCAGCGGTGTCCCACCTACCTGGTGCAGGCCGGCCGCAGCCTGGCCGCCCAGCTGCGCGCCTGGGCACACGACGCCTCGGTGAGTCGGCCGAGCGGGCCACCGCCACATCTCCCAGATTCAGTCACTAGTTTATCGAATACTGCATAGTTATTGACCAGCAGAATTAGGAATATCGCATAGTTGTTGCTACGAAGTTAACAAATTCTCGCTGTACCCTTGTTTTGTAATTCGGTGAAGTGTTGGTGTTTGGCTTATCGTTGGCGTTTTCCTGCTCACGTTCGCAGTCGGCCCGGCGAGGTGTGGAGCCCATACCTGCCTTCATCAACCCTAGCAAGCTGATCAAGATGATCAACAAGGAGGTGCGCCACGCGGAGAAGTACAGCGCGCAGGCGCCGGCGGTGGCTCCTGCGCGGCCCGAGCGCCAATCGCGCCGCCAGGTGAAGAAGCGACCGCTGGGCGCTGACTTTGTGGATATCTCGGAGCGCTCCGAGTTCGAGTCACTGCTGCAGCAGTCGGCAGCGGCCGAGCGTCGCACCGAGCCGGCGCGCCGGCTGACGGTGCCGCGGCCCGTTCCCAGCCCGGCGCCCGGCCCGGCCAGCGGCGCCCACCGCGCCCCGCCGGCCGCCGGCGGCGGTCTCAAGATCCGGCTGGGGCCGCGCGTGCAGCCGCCGCCCGGGCTGGACGATGATGACGAGGAGGCGCCGCTGACCATCGACGACTCGGCGCCGGCGTCCCGGCGCTACGGCCGCATCCGCTCCGTGTCCATGGACAACCCGCTCAAACTGCGCCTCTCCAGTGAGTGCGGGGCGCCGGTCGGCAATGCGCCACATGGGTTTTGGTAACGGGCTTTTTGCGGGCTGTTTCAGTTGAGAACGGTGTAAGTTATGGTAAATCGTAGATCCTACAGGGTCTTTCATAATGAATGTTACTTTTGAAAGAGCTATTTCTCAGGACATATATGTTCCTCGTGTAATATGTACCATCACATGAAACAGAAACACATTAGCGTTTTTGCACACACAACTTTCATTTTAGTGCTCCTCAGGAATTTTCCACTGTATCGCCCTTAATTAAGGCACACGTTTCGGCCCTCTGACGAAGGTGTCGACAGATGATTTCACCAATTTTGTGGCTGATGCACGACTGATGGCCGCTGTGCCATCAGGAGAGTTACCAGAGTCTCTCCACCCAGTGTCCACCTAACTAGCCCTCCTTCCCCAGTCGACGGCCGGGCGGACCCGGCGCCTCCGCCGGCCTCCAACGGCATCGAGGAGCTGCTGCGCGCCTCCAGCGTGGCTGACGGCGGAGGAGGCGGCGGCGGCGGCTCGGACGGCACGCTGCCGGCCGGCCAGGCGTCGCCGGCCACCCGGGACGCCATCGTTGGCATGCTGACCATGAGCCGCGCCGTGGTGGAGCCGGAGCCGGCGCCGGCGCCGGCGGCTAAACGCAGCCGGCCGCGCTCCTACTCATCAGATGAGGAGACGTTCGCCGCCACGCAGGACGACGAGTATGGTGAGTGGCGTCTGACGACACTGTCCGGGCCGGGCGAATGCACAGCTGTTACTTACCGAAAACGATGCTAACTGATGGTCCTGCTCGAGTCGAATCAGAATCAACGTACTGTACGGTAGCCTGTGTTCGTATAATTAGTATAGTTATACCCGTACCCTGTCCCCAGTGGTTTGTTGACTAATGGAGCAGACCTGTGTCCATGATTATCCACCCGCTCACCACGTGATGCGTCCTGCACGGACCACCAGCTGACGCTCCGCCCGGTCCCGCAGTGTACCCGGCGATCGACGACTCAGATGACGAGCACGTGTTCAAGCCGCGCGGCCGGCGCCGCGGCGACGAGGCCTGGAACCCCAAGGCGCGCGTGTCGGTGAACGCGGGGCGCAGCTCGCGACCGGCGCGACCCAACGCGGCGCGCCGACCGCCGCTGACGCCCCAGTCGGCCGGCCACCGGACACTCGCGGTCAGTGGGGGGGGGGGGGACTCTAGGAGAGGGAGGGGTGACAGCAGTCACAGTACTGAGCGGTAGTGACTTGGGAAAGTTGTCAGAGTGGTAAATATTGTATTATTCGGCTGTCACATGAAGTTGGTGGTAATCTATATGCATTATGATTCTTTCGTAGCGTTTTGTGGCTAAGTGATCCACAAGCGGGTCGCCACTGCCGCGACCATTTGCCTCACGCCGTGCGAGCTACGTAATTCGATACTGTTGAAATGCACTGCGCGATCCTCACGTTCTACTGGCTGTTTTCAGTCGCTGAAGAAGGTGCAGCCAAAGAAGAGAGACCCGCAGCCCGGCTCTTCCAGTTCGGGTCTCTCGCTCGGAGGTGGCCCCGACTCTGTCAAACGTGAGTCGATGACGCCACCAGCTGTCGTTTCTGGCACCACGGACGTACAGGAACTTTGATTAGTGAATAAGAAGGCTATTCTGCTACTTCATTGTGTCATTAGCAAGGGAGATAACGGATAAAAAGATGACGAGTCATCGTCCAATGACTTTGTCAGGAACTCAGCCCAACTGTTCGAATCCCCTCTCGGCTCTGGTCTTGTTCTCAAATCAAATCTAACCAAAAGACTGTGGATTAATTGGCTCCTCACGTCTTATTGCCACGATGTCAAGCAAACAGACAAGCAAAACTGTGCAATGCAACGACTCGATATGACGATATGACTCGATTGCGACGTGAGTGCAGTCGCTACCCGTTAATACCTCCTTTAATCCACGGTGAGGCCATGGGTACAATTAATTGCCGCAAAAGGTGTTAAGTAAATTTCGGTGGCTAAAAGAGGTCCATGTTAGAGGTAGGACTGCAGTCCCACCTCTAGATTTTGGCTGTTCGATGCAATTTAGTTGGTGGGCCTCAAACAGAACAGTAGTTCCATTCTCAGCGTGCAACAAATTGCGCCTAACATGTTTGCCGCGGTGCGAGCTGACGAGCCGGCAATGCAGTCCGACTCCGAGAGCCCCACCACACGGACAACGTTCCGGTCCCGACCGAATCTACCGCGAGGGTGCGCCGCCGCCGCGGCACAAGCCCCACATCGACCGCCGGTCACGTGATCCACGGGTCACCAATCAGGGACCTCGCCGCGCCGCGCCGCCGGGTAGGCTGCGCCGCAGCGCTGCTCGCTGTAGCAGCGGCGGCCCGGCGGACGGTAATTACAAATATTCACAGACTTTTTATCGTTGCGATAATTCACTGCAGCTTGGATGTTTCGCTGATGGATGTTTGAATTCCATGTCTCGTTTGCAGGACCCAAGCCGAAGAAGGGAATGGCGACCGCCAAGCAGCGTCTGGGCAAGATCCTGAAGCTGAACAAGATGAAGTTCTGAGGAGGCGGCGGCGCCGGCGGGCCTTGGACCGGCTGTGATGTCCCACCTTGTGTTCAGAGGGCGCCGTGCGGCCGGCGGACCGGGGCCGGCGTCTCCCGGCCGTGGCCACGCTCGCACGGTCAGTCCCACCACGGGTGGCTGTGTGTACGTTATACGTACGCGCTCTGCGCCGCCGATTATGACGACGATCTGCCCTGGTAGCCTTCATCGCTCATGTCCATAGCGGTGGCGCCGTGGCCGGCCGATGCGTGATACATGAATTAGTGCACCGCGTAGCATTCATCATCCTCATATTTACTGGCGTCAGACTGCGCCAGCTTTTTGTTATCGGATCATTCACAATTTACGTTGTGAGTAACAAGTAGGTCAGAAGCTACCTGCAGCTTTAAGGCCTAACGGCAGTTCATCGTATGTGTCCAGTGCGTTCTGAATGAATATTGTATGAATACGAATCTATCGCATTCATATTGCTTATCATATCGCTTAGCAATATGATAAGCAATATGATATGAATCATATCGCTTAGCAATTGATGCTTAGAGGGGTCGGACGTGTTTGAAGGGGCTCTAGTATTTTGTCATTTTTTACCGTAACTAGATTGTGTCACGAGCTGAAAATAATATAGCGTGGTTAGGAATTTAACGTAGAATGTTTAACTGTAATTTATAAAGTTTAATGTTGTGTAACTTGCCAGATATAAGCGTTTGAAAATGGTAAAATTTTGAACTTTAGTTAAAAAACATTGTTGTTTGGACTGCTGATCCACGCTTGATTTTTGCCAAAAAGGCTCGTGGATATTAACAACGCGTAACTGCGACTAAAAGCTCCCACGAAATTAAAGCCGGCAATATCGTTTTGATATTGCCGTACGGATATATCCATATATGTCGTATGGATATATATGAGCTGATTGCACCGAAGAAACCAACGGGGAGATGCGTTGAATTGCTACTGTATGAAGTCGGCCCACGAGAAGTAATCAAGTTTCTCTTGGGATTGCTATTGTCCGGATGGTGTAGCTTTCTTCGCTCTTCGTTTTGAATATTTGTTCGACATCTTTTACCCCAGTGCAAGATTATGCTCGGCCACTCTTTTCCAAGACTTCATTTAATAACTTGAACTCAAGCGCAATGACCCGGAGATTAACCAGCAAACATGTCACATAGGTACCCTTGCGGCGCATGCAGCCGGGGTGTCGGGAGCGGCTCAGTTCAATGCCACCAATGTAGCCGGTGGTTCCATGGCCGCTGCGCAGTCCTCAACCGGTCGAATTTGCTGCGACTCGCGAAGCTCCACACGGAATGGAGATGCACCACCTGCCAAAATACTCCTGTCGCCCAGCCCTGCGACCCGCAGCGTCCTACCTCCAACGGCGAGAACAGCCCACAGCCGCCTCGCGACGCCTCAACACCAGCCTCCTCGCCGTCACCGACACCGACCAGCCAGCCAGCGCGAGACGCCTCACCACCAGCCTCCTCGCCGTCACCGACACCGACCAGCCAGCCAGCGCGAGACGCCTCACCACCAGCCTCCTCGCCGTCACTGGTTCCGGTCAGCCAGCCACCTCACGACGCCAGAGACCAGCCGTCCACCCAGAGTCCTGCTGAGTGTGTCGCCTGCTCCATTCGCAGCCGCAGGAAGACAACCATCACCTGCGGCTCCTGTAGGCAACTATGGCATACTTCCTGCGCTAAGGTCCCTGCAAGGAAATCCCATCACCTCCCTGTTTGGCATTGTCCTGCATGCCTCGGCCGCGAGTCAGCCCAGCTCTCTGACGCTTTCAACGGAAGAGAGGTTCCAGACACTGGCGTCGTCGAAGGACTGGCAACTCTAAGGAGAAGCACTAAACTAATCTCGCGAATACCTAAAGGCGTAAGGCCCCTGGTGGCCGATGCCCTATGCAGCGCCTTAGAGGATGCCCTTAAGCTACGCACAATCTGCGCGTGGTGGACCTTCCTGTCTTTCGCGTTCTTCGCGCTACGCACACCAGGAAAAGGCGATAATAATGTCAGTGCCGCAGCGAGCATCAGGCAGCAGCTCTCCAGCCCCAACCAAACCATGACACCAAACCTGCTTCCCGAACCACCAACAAATGACTCAGCACGAGAACATCAAAAGCCTGCCACTGACGCCCTGGCCCGTCGGATCCTCGGGAAATGTGCAGATGGCGACATCCGGGCGGCCCTAAGGCTACTGACCTCAGACGATACAGTTGCCGAGCCTGACGCCGAAGTAATCGCCGAGCTAATGCTGAAACACCCAGCAGCTCCCAAGGACGAGCTTCTGCCGCCACCGCCCGCCCCATCAGACCCAGGGCCGCTCACGGTGACGCCGGAGGAGGTGGAGGCCGCTATCAACTCGATGCCTCCGGGATCATCAGCAGGCCTAGACGGCATCAGGCCGCTACATCTACGCCAGCTTATATCCAGGGAGGCGGCTGAGAGCGGCCGCCGTCTTTTGCACTCTTTGACGGTACTCACCAACCTGGTGCTGGCCGGCGAGGTGCCGGATTGTGCCAGGGACGCCCTTTTCAGCGCCTCACTATGCGCACTCAGGAAGAAGAGCGGCGGATTGCGGCCCATTGCAGTCGGGAGCGTCTACCGACGCCTGCCATCCCGCATCGGAGCACGCTTCGTGGCAGACAGCCTTGGTGCCGAACTCCGTCCTGTCCAGCTCGGGGTAGGAACGCCCCTGGGCTGCGAGGCGGCGGTCCATGCAACGCGCAGTTTCATTGAAGCCAGCCGACAGTCAGCTGCTCCACACGTGCTGGTCAAACTTGACGTGTCAAATGCTTTTAACACGGTGCGGCGCGACGTCTTCTTGACCCGCATTAGGGAGCGATGTCCGGAGGTGTACTACCTAGCCTACCAGGCCTACAGCTCACCCAGCCCACTCATCATCGGAGGGCAGACCATCGCTTCGGCCTGCGGTGTCCAGCAAGGCGACCCGCTCGGACCGGCCGCGTTTGCTATCGCCATTGACTCCTGTGCCAGAGCAGTGTCAGCACCTCTGAACATCTGGTACTTGGACGATGCAACGCTGGCCGGTCCAGCCAGCGCGGTCGCTGCTGACATCGCAACACTTCCAACAGCGCTGGCAGCCGCTGGTCTCTCACTGAACGCGTCCAAGTGTGAGGTGGCCTTCATTGGCGCTGAAGATTCGGACCACCGCCACGCTGCCATCGGCGCCATCTGCTCTGCGCTGCCTGACGTCAAAGAGACTGAGCTCACAAACCTATCTCTGCTTGGCTCTCCCCTGACCGACGGCAGCATAGGAGCAGCAGGGGAGGCAGCCTCTGCTATGGTGCAACGCCTCTGCACCCGGCTGCGCGAGCTAGACAGCCACACTGCGGTGTTTTTCTTGGCGCACCACGTATCGGCACCGCGTCTGACGTACCTGCTGCGCTCCGCACCGGCGTTCAAAGCCCCACACGTACTCCAGGCTACTGACGAAATGGTGCGCAGCACACTAGAAGCGGTCTGCAACGTGGCCATAAACCCTGCGGCATGGGAGCAGGCGTCGCTTCCAGTGAAGTTCGGCGGCCTGGGCATCCGGTCAGTCGAGGCACTGGCGCTACCAGCGTACATTGCGTCGGTAAACGCAGCACGCCCCCTCATCCGTTCCATCTGTCCGAGTGTGACTGATGAACTCTCAGACACCTTGGAGACCGCAGTCAGCGCGTTCCTTCATCGCACAGGGGTGGACCGACAGCAGCTGCCGGACGGTGAGCTGGTCAGTAGTCAGCGCGCGTGGGACACCGTCGCCTGTACGGTGGTCCAAAGTCGCCTACTGGTACCAGCCAACCAGATCGACCGAGCTCGGCTCATCGCCGCCGGCCAGCCGCACACAGCGGCCTGGATCCAGGCGGTGCCGGTGCCGAGTCTCGGGCTTCACCTCGACGACGAAACCGTCCGCGTCGCTGTGGCCCTGAGACTCGGCGCCCCGGTTTGCGAGCCGCATCGGTGCCGTCTGTGTGCGCGCCCCGTCACCCCGCTGGGACATCATGGCCTCTCCTGCCAGAAAAGTGCGGGTCGCCACTTGCGTCATGCCCACTTGAACGACGTGGTGCGTCGCGCTCTCTCCGGCGCTGGCTTTCCCGCCATTCTGGAGCCAGTCGGCCTCGACCGGGGCGACGGCAGACGACCGGATGGCATCACCGTCTTCCCCTTCCGCGAGGGCAAGTGTCTGACGTGGGACGCGACCTGCGTCGACACTTTCGCCGACCACATAGCGGTGGAGTCCGCACTGAAACCGGGTGCAGCTGCAAGGCAAGCCGAAGAGCGAAAGCGGCAGCGTTATGCGGACCTAGCCAGGAGGTATAGCTTTGTTCCGGTGGCACTGGAGACAACCGGTGTCTATGGTCCGGCCGCCGCCGCTTTCGTCCAGGACCTGGGGAGACGCCTGGCAACCTGCACGGGTGAGCGTCGCGAGACGGAGTGGCTGCGACAGCGGCTGTCCGTGGCCATCGCTCGTGGCAACGCGGCCTCCGTCCTCGCCACCGCTCCCCAATCTGGCATAGAACAAGCAGGCCAAACCCGCAGGGCTGCCTCCACCGCTGGGAGCAACCCAGGGACGACGCGCCGGTGGCCGCGGAGCCACGCGGTAACGGCCGCTACGCCATCGGCTAGCTGTGCGCCTGAGGTCGAAACCAGCGGCAAGAGGAGCACAAGAGCCACGCCGCCCAAGGCAGATTCTCCGACTGAGATCAACCTGGGCAACTCGTGCTACCGGCGCGGCCTGGTCAACCTTGGGAACACGTGCTTCATGAACACCGTGCTACAGGCGCTGTTCCATTCAGATCAGCTGCGCGGCGAGGTGCTGGCAGCGCGGCCGTCCCCCTCCCGCCCGCACCTGGCGGCACTACAGCGAGTGTTCGCCTTCCTGGCGTTCTCGGAGCGGCCCGTCTACAGCCCGGGCGAGTTCCAGCGGACCGCTCTGCCGCCCTGTTTTGAGCGGGGCCGGCAGCACGACTGCTCAGAGTTCCTCCGATGCTTTCTGGACGCCTTGCATGAGGAGGAGCGGTCTCCGGCAGCTTCCCCTGCCGCACCGGTCGCGGTCCCGCCGCCAGTCCCTCCAGCTGCTGCCGCCGCACGCACCAGAGACGACTCCAGCGTGCCGGGAGCAGCGGCGATGGAGCGGCCGCGGTCCCGGCGCCGGCACCGTTCCTGCGACACTGCGCGGGCCGGCGGGAGATCGCCGCCGGTGCAGCTCTCTGACCTGGCCAGCGACGATGTGGCGATGGCAGAGCCGGCCGGAGACAGGGCGGAGCGGACTGCCGCGGAGGGGGAGCCCACAGAGTCACCGGACACCGGCGGGACGCAGCAGACTGATCCGGACGGCCAGGCGCAGGGCGAGGTGGTGCGTGAGCACGGCACTGGCGATGCCGGAGCTGAGGAGCCGCCCGCCGGCCTGGTCCGTCGGCTACTGACCGGACGGGCTGAGACTACATTCACCTGTCTCACGTGCGGCGGCGCTTCGCGCCACGAGAACAGCGTGACGGACCTGCACCTGGCTCTGCCGGAGTCGGTGACACGGTCACTGACGGCAGCTGCCGCGGGCGCCAGGGGAGCCGAAACTGCGCCGGCGTTCGGCCCCGCGCCGCGGCCGGTCGGTTGGCGGGGCACGCCACCGACGGACAACCAGACAGAGGTCGAGCTAACCGTATCGCAGCTGCTGCTCGACTACCTGACGCCGGAACGACTGTGCGGTGATAACCAGTATTACTGTACCAAGTGCACCGGCCTGCGGGACGCCGAGCGCCAGCTGCGACTGCTCTCTCCGCCAGCCAACCTGGTCGTCTCCTTGATGAGGTTCGCGGTTGACCGGCGCACCGGTGCACGCCGCAAGGTTCTCACCCCTGTGGAGCTCACCGAGTGGCTGACAGTGCCGCTAGCCACCGGCCCGCCCGCCCAGTACCGGCTGTATGCAGTGATAGTCCACGCGGGCCATTCGCTGGACGCTGGCCACTATTTCTCATTCTGTCGCGCCTCCGGTGGCGGTGGTATTGATGGGATGGACGATACCGGCTGGTGGCGGCTGGACGATACGTCAGCGGTGCCGGTGCCGGCGGCCACCGCGCTGGGCCGGCCGCGCCGCTCCACCGAGGCAGCCTACACGCTGCTGTACCGGCTGACCGATGCAGCGGTGGCGGGGGCGGCGGGCGGCTTGTCGGCGCTGGCTGCCCTGCCTGGCCCGCTGCGAGCTGCCGTGGAACAAGACAACGCCGTTTTCCGACGGGAGCGGCAGAGCCGGACGGCCGGCGCACTGCCGATGGTCCACGACGGACGGCCGCCGCCGGGTGCCGGCTGCGGCGGCGACAGCGGGCCCGGCGTCCCTCGGATGCGTCAGCCGACGACGAGGCGAAGCGGTCCAAGCAGGAGAACGGCCACAACGGCGTCAACGGCCAGGCGGCGCCCCTGATATGCGTCCGCTAAAATAAAGTGCTGTGTAAACTGTAATATGCATATTATGTATTGACTCGTATACCTTGCCAGTACACTGTTAATTTGCGAGTTAGCTCATTTATTGTTATCTGCACTAAATGCATCGAAAGGAATGGATTGATAATAATAAACTACCGGTTGAACCCCGGACAAGGGAAAAAAAAAATCTATCGCATAGCATTGGTTTTGGTATGAGGGGAATAATGTTAAGCGCACTCATTTATTCATTCACTTTGGTATTTTATCTTCTTGGAACTGGTGTTGACTACGTTTGCGCTCCCATACACCACTTATCTTGTATGACGCGCCTCGAAACCGTCATGCATGACCAGTGACCACGGGCCATGGGAGCGTAGCAATTAATGACAGTGCAGATATAGGCAGACAACATCGCAGCGTCGACCACACCAAAGACATCCTTTAATGTGGTGCGCCGCCGATCTCAGGCACCAGCAACACGAAGGGGCCGCGATCGGGTCATAAATAGCAGTATCTACACGTCAAGGTTGTTCATGGTTGATTTACCGCAATTACGGTATTAACTAAGCCCGTGATTGAACAAACAATAATATAGATAGCACTGGTATCAGCGCCTGAAGTCATACTGCACCGCAGAACACCAGTTCATAGCCCTGCCGCTAGATGACACTGGTCATCAGCGCCTGGAGTCATACTGCGCCGCAGGACACCAGCTTATGATTCTGCCGCTAGATGACACTGGTCATCAGCGCCTAAAGTCATGCATACTGCACCGCAGAGCACCAACTTATAGCCCTGCCGCTAGATGGCACTGATCATCGGCGCCTGGAGTCATACTGCGCCGCAGAACACCAACTTATGATTCTGCCGCTAGATGACACTGGTCATTAGCGCCTGAAGTTGCATACTGCACCGCAGAACACCAGCTTATAACCCTGCCGCTAGATGGCACTGGCTATCAGCGCCTGAACTCATACTGCGCCGCAGCACACAGAACGGTCCCGCGTCCCGCATTGGGCCGTTTCCCAATATTGCTCCGACTCCGAGCCATCTCGAATGTAGGGAAACCACAGCCCTCGTGTGGTGCCCGTTCCCCTGTCTGTGGTCAAGATCCCGTGTACGGCGGGCGCAGAGGGCGATGTAACATACATTTTTTAATGAGGTTGATGTAACGAATCGATGTCAGATCTTCTGTTCCAACTCAAACTGATGATAATTTCCCCAACTCACGGCTAACCAGGCCATCAGAGGCTATGTTTGTTTCCCTTCCAAACAACTCGACGCAAAAAGCTTGTATATTTGGAAGATGTTAAATAAAATGAAATTAACTGCCCAGTGAGAAACCGAATATGTGCGAAAATTTACCCCGCCGCCTAATGAGCCAAACCGTTTTGCAGGCTTTCCGTGGGCGCAGGTTACTGTACCGCAGAGGGCGGACTTCGGTCAGAGTCAGACTTGATTGTGTCAGCTCACCAAATTAAGCGAGCTGCCCTGACTTTACACTGATTTCCAAAATATCACGTCTCCGTTTGTCTATTGCCTAATCCTAGTGACTCAAATGGACACAAAGGCCGGCTTCTTTATCTCGCATTTCGTATCCCGGTTTCCATCTGTTTTCTCTTCAGACGATGGACTGCCGTAGCAATTAGCACTGAAGCATACGCGTCATCGCTTGGTATCGGAAGTTACACAACTGCCGGAAGTAGTAGCTGGTCAGTTGCCGAATGGATTGATGGACTTCTTCTGGTTATTGGCTGAAGGTCTTGACTGGTTGTCCCGTTACGTCGTTGGTGGTCATGTTGGATGCTCTGGCACGGTTAGGCGCGCTGGATGCTAGCAGGGCTGGTGGGTAGTCGCGCTGGATGGCAGGGACGGTGGACAGTCGCGCTGGACAGGCCGCTGCCGATCGTCTTCCGACGGGTAGCCTGTGCGCCCTCTGCTAGTCGTTGGCGGGCAGGCTGGACAGTGACGACAGCTGAGAGCCGGAGAAGGCGTGCAGGTCGGTCTCGTAGATCCAGGCATCGGCCGCCACCTGGTCCATGGTGGCCCGCCGGGTTATGTCCGGCTCCAGCATGTGTCTGTGCAGACAGACACCAGACGCACGCCTCAGTCAGACTCTACACACATTCACAGTGCTGCTCCGACGGATTTAGTAGGCAAATGCGTGTAATATTGAAATTTTGACATACAGAAAGCGTATTTTCATCGACAAACCTGGCGTTCGGCTAAGCGTCCTAATCTTATATCGTCAGTGAACAACGGACCCGGTACTGCCAACATCACTTTTGTCTGCCAACACCCGGTATTTTTCCGGGGCTCTCACTCGACGTTATAGCCAACAATGAATATTTTCATCATGAACGGTTATGGTTTTCTGCCTGAAACCTGTGTATATTTACGATGTTGACCTACCTGATAAGTCGTTTTACTCCGGCAGTAAGAGGCTCCTGGTTTTTGCCGTTAAAACCAAGCCTCCGCTCTTGTTGATATCGTAACATTTTCTTGATATTAGAATCGTCGAAAGGCATTGTAGCTGTGACCATGATGTATAGGATGCACCCCAAGGACCAGACGTCGTACATCTTGGGGTTATACGGCTGGCCCTGGAACCAGCACACGGTAATACCTCAAATAAGTGATGATGACAATGGTAATTTGGGAAATAATCTTTGACGGAGGCATGATACAGCTATGATAATATGGAATACCCAAAGACCGGTTTATCTCAGTAACTTGCTTGGGCCAATGTTCGTCACGACCTGCCCCGGTTACAGGTCGTGACGACCTGTAACCCACCTGTAACCACGATTTAGAAAACATGAAACGATTCCTTTCCTCCAGCCTCGTGGTGTTACGATCGGACTAGCACAAAGGCGCGGGAATGACTCACGTCAGGACTAACGATGCATGTGTGTTTACGGTGAAATGGAACTGACCTGAAGGATCTCTGGAGCGGCGTATGCGGCACTGCCGCAGAACGTTCTACTCAGCACTCTTTTTCCGGCCTCATCCCGGCAGCGACGGCAAAATCCAAAGTCCGTGAGCTTCAGAGAACGATCAGAAACCAGCAATACGTTCTCGCACTTCAAATCACGATGAGTTATATCCAACGCGTGAAGGTATTTCACAGCGGATACCAGCTGACTGGGTCAGCAACGATCAAGGGAGGTCAGTATTCTCGCTTGGAGTCCTGTTAAAATGGTCATCACACACAAAGAGCTAACAAGTTATAGCAGTATTACAAGTGCATATTATTTTGTGATTACGACGGGCTCGGAAATGAATATCTTCGATAAAACATCGCACCAAAGTATACGATGAATAAGACAAAACGCGCTATGATGCTCGATAGTTAAAAATGTACATGTGTATGCAAAGCTTACCGAAAGTAGTGACGTCCCTTTGGTTCCTTCAATGCTCCCTTACTTCGAATATGTTCCAACAAATCACCTCTGTCACAATATTCCATGAATATATAAACACAGTCGTTGATGTCGATAATGTCGTAGAACTTCACTATATTGGGATGGTCAATATGGCGTATTATGTCCAGCTCTCGCGGCAGAAATTTCGTAACGAAATCATGAGAAGCCTTTTTCCTATTGATAATCTTGCATGCAATTTTCACGAGCTCTCCACTGTCCAAAACTTTACTTGAGAGTCGCACCTTGCAGTACGAGCCTTCACCAATTACTTTTCCCAACTTGTATCCCTTTTTGCTAAGAATTTGAGCGGCGGCATCGCCGAAAACGCCGTGAAGGATGCTAATCGAGCTGCAATAAAAACACAACTTCAATGATCATCTGCTTTGGACGACGGACGTGAAACCAGATATGAAGACATCAACATGATTAAAGTTAAAATCGTTGTACGTCAAAACAGCAGGCAGAACATTTTAATGCTTCAACGTTTTACTAATACAAAGATTACTGGCAAGCGATGGAGAATGATGCTCAAGACGAGGGATGCCTATAGGCATGCCAGTTCTGAGGTCTCAACTGACGAGAAAATGAACACGGTTCCAATAAAACGACTCTAGCCATGTAAATTAATCGAAGTTAGATCTATGCTACCTTAGTGGTTAACAAGCCATGAATAGGGACGATTTTGACACTTAATTAAGCCAAGTTTGTCCAGTTTCGTCACGAGATTTTCCCTCACCTGTGACGGTCCTGCCGTGATGAGCTTCGGGCTGAGGAGGCATGTTGTGCCATAAGAAAACGTAAATTTTGCTTTAAACTAAATGCTTTTCACGTAAGATTTATACTCAGCGATTTAAAATGAAAATAAAGCAGAAAGAAACCCAACGGTGTTACTGCGAAATTTAACATCTTTCTACGGCAGAAAAGCTGATAAAGCTCGAGAAATCCACTGTCGTCAAGGCAGTAGGCACCTCTAAATAAAGGAGTGGAATAAAAATAAATACGTTATGTGCGCTGTTGAACAATTTTAACTGGAAAGGTAAAAGAAAAAGAGTATGCTCAAACATTCCCGATAATACAGAATGCATTTCAGATAGAGAATGTTGGGTGTGACAACTGGAAGGCACAACGTATCTTTTCTACACGAAATCCAATAGGCATGACATGCCTATTGGTTATTGAATACCGCACAACATCCCATCACGTTCAACAATTAATGTTTGTAGTAAACATGAGCCAAGGACGAGGTTAAAGGTAGTGTGCCAGCTTTCCTGGACCGTATGGAGTTAAAGGTAGACTGCCACCTTTTTTTCACAAAACGGTTTTCACTAGAGCTGAGCCACCTATGTCCCAGACTGAAGTCGGTTTTCCGAAATTCGAACCCGTTTGCGAGAAATCGGAGACCAAAGTTCAGTTTGATGCCATTTTTTTAGTCCAAGAAAACCGACATCTCTACTGTTTATCGATAACTTGGAAACATGAATTTTCTTATCTTTTGGTAAATATATGTCAAAACTTTGATTGTTTCGAGATCAGAGAAGAATTTTGGAGTGTCAAAATAAAAGTTGAACTATTAAACTAAACTATATT